GCCATTTGTGGGTTGAGCTTGTTGTTTGTTTTCTCCTTTCTCCATTTTTCTCCGGGTACTCCGGTTTTCCCCTCTCCTTAAAAACTAACACTTCCAAATTCTAAATCGATTTAGAACACACGGACACGTTTCAACGAGTTCTTAAGAACTCCTAAATGCTCCGTGGGTAAACAAATTGCAATTACAATTGCAAACTCGTTCCCAGGACTCTCTCTAACTTGTCCCTTCCTTCGCAAGGACGAGTAAGAGAGAACCCTGGGAACTATAAATGAACAACCCGGTAGAATGTGAAGAACTTTTAAAAACAATACGTTCATTCTTTGACATAGGTGAAGAAGTGATGTTCAATTTATTTCGAAATACTATACATGTCTAAGGAGTGTAATAAAATGAAAGACCGTTAAGAAAATTACAGTGACGATTTTCTTACTAGTTGTAGTATCTTTATAATATGTTAAGTTTGTTTGTCTATTATGGCAGGGAAAGTTGAAAAAGGTTTCTTGAGATACCGATTCTATTAATTAGTAAAGGTGCTAGCCTTCAAACGCGACACAAAGTGGAGGTAGCAAATTTTAATGTCCCTTAATTAAGTGTGTAGCGTTGACTATGGTATTGTTCTTGATTAAAAGATGATCTTGTTTTTAAGAATTATTTTAGATCTCTTTCCCACTCAGCTGCTCAGAGAGAGAACATTTATCATTGCTACCAAGAGAGAAAAGAGTCCACAAATGCTTGAATACTGCAAAGAGGGTGCAGCAGCCTCTGTCGGAATAGGTTGCTGAGCTGGAACCACGGTATACTTCTCAGGACTAACGCCCGACCTTGAATGTTTTTGAAAATTCCTGATATCGGTGACGTCTTCGGTGTAATAGGCCCAAACGAAATAAAATTGGCCACCAGGCTGCAATTTAATTTAAACACAAAAGTATTTAAAAATAGTTAAGTTATTCAGAGTAAAGAGAGTCTTGGTTTGGAATCATTTACTATTCGTTCTTGGCGGGTTAGTGCAAATGAGAAAGACTTCCAGCCAAACAGTTGTCGCGAGTTCATCATGTAACGAAACGGCTTAGAAACTGAATGGATTGTAAAAAAATTTAACTCGTTATGCCGCCGGGGAGCCGCCGGGAATGTTCCTTGTTTGAAATAAATAACGAGAAAGAAACAGAAAGAGCTGGAGATTTCACCCTTACTATAAGGGCAGAAATTAGTAATGTTACAGTGGCTTATATGTTCTTTATGGTTATTGCTTAGTTGTTACGTTTCTTTTTAGGAATTTGGCAAGGAAAACAGGGAGCGGCACAGGGTGTCACCTTGGGAAATTCATTTTCCCATAATAGACAAATCACTAGTCTCCTAGCAACAAGTAGGGAGACTTGGGGACGAGGCAGCAAATACCATGCAAAGTTAACCTGCGAGAAAGCTCTCTGGGGCGCTCTCCTTTTTCGTGCCGCCGCCAGAGCGCTGATCCCGGAGAGCTTGCTCGCAGGCTAAAGCAAAGTTTTCCTCTTTTCGCTTTTGCAAACGGTGAGGGGATGGGAGCAGGGAAATTAAAACTGTGTCTATCTACTGGTGACCAGGCCCCGGTTCCTGGAAAGCCGATTTTAGTATCCTTCGATTAGCGTTTAATCCACGTTTAAATTTCTTAAAAAGGGATTCCTGGCCCCAGTTCCTGGAAAGCCGATTATACTATCCTCCGATTAGCGATTAATCCTGAATTAACACTAATCAGGGCTTTCCAGGAACCGAGGCCAGGATATAACATGATAATCGTGGGGTCCAGTTGTTCGAAGGCCGATATTAGCGCTAATATAGGGTTAAATTTTAACCCAGGTTTCTTCATCTTTTGTTCAAAGTTTTTTTTAGATAATTTTCTCTATTATTTTTATACCATTCAATCATCAAATTGTAGACAAATAGAATTAAACTGAATAAGCTGTTTTCTCTTTCATATTTGAATTAAAAAATCTTGCACTTACCCTGGGTTATTTTGACCCAGGTTTGAACAACCCGGAATCAGGGGAATATGATTTTGCATCCACTCTCTCACTTTCGTCAAATTCCCCTCGGTAAACGCTAAATAAGAGGAGGAAGGCTTTGATTTTTTTAAACGCTCCGGCTCTAAGAGGGCAGAATCATTTTCAAAAGAGACATAATTTTCTGCGCGTCTCGCCATTCCAGAGTTATTAATTACTATTACTATAGAAAAGGTGAGCTACTTACCATAAAAGTGAGATCGTTGTCGTTATCACCTGTATCACGTCGTCTTTCAAACATCAGTTCAGTGTATCCACCAACTTCAGATGCATTGAGGAGTTGGTAATCCGGGCTAGCGTCAAGGGTTGGCTGTATTTGCCCCCTTGTAAAGTAATCCTGAAAAAATTTACAGTTGCCTTAGCTTAGATATATATATATATATCTAACTCAAGTTTTTTGTTATGGGTATCTTTTTTCCGGATAAGAATTGAGGTTGGTTATTTGAACGATTGTTTCTCCTCACCCTCGACTAGGCTGTCCTTGGCTGTCAGATATTAGGAAACATTGCTTATACAAGAACTGAAGCCAGCTTTCAATGCAAACGTCAGTAGAAAGCTACGCTGATGCTTCATTAATTAGCTGTTTCTTTTTAAAGATTAACTTTTAAGTTTTGTGCTTAATCTCGGTCCCAGTCCCTTTCCGCTGTTATTTAAGTATAGTTTTCAAAATTGTGACGGTATTTTTGAAAATGTATGTTGAGTAGCATACGAAACGTCAAGTTTATAAAAATGAGTAAGTTGAATATGTTTTTCAGCGCTGTTTGTGTTCTTTTTCTTAACAAGATCAAGGGGATCTTAAGGTTCAAACCTATAGCAAGCAGTTTAGCTCATTGCGCACAGACATAAGCACATATCGACATTCCATTCCTAGCAGTTTGCAGGGTGAACTGAAATATATGAAAATGATTATACGTTTCTTTGTAACTCCCCGAATACCCCTCCCCTAAGCCAACATTAAAACTTACTTCTCACTTAGAGCAAAATGTTGGCTTAGGGGAGGGGTAGGTGGACAGTTTTCCGGAAACGTATAATGATCCAAAATGAATTATATCTTGAACTGCCGATAAAGATGAAAGTGAACATGATTCTTGCAGTTGAATGGACAAGCTAAGCGGTTGAAAAAAAAAACTGACAAAACATTTCAGGCTTGACCGTGAATCGAACTATGACCCTTGGGATGACCGGACGCGATGCTCTATCGATTGAGCTTGATTTCATAGTATGCAGGATGTTTGTCACAAGAACCTAGTTATTTCCCCGCGGTATCTCATCAGGACTTAAAAAGTAGGATAACATATTTACTTACAAAGTAAGATAAATAAATATTAATATAACTATAACTTATTAATAACTTTATGTAGCTACTTTGTATTTTGTGTGCATGACTCTGTAATTAATAGAGAAGAAATGAATATGTATGTATATACGTCTTCTTTCCTTGAGAGCGGTGCCTATTAAACAAAAACTTAACCATGAGATAAAAATTGGTCAATGCAACCCGCATTTAAAAAACTGTGCAGTGTATCTGCTTGTCGCAACTACATTGGGAGGGTATATATTCCACAGCATCGCACCCCTGTAGCCAAAGCGATAAAAGTAGTTTGTACGGGGCTGAGGAATAGCCAGCTTGCTCCCTGAGTGTCTCTTGGAGAAAAAGCTGACACTGTCACGATTAGTAAACATATTGCTCAAATAGTCTGGGGCAAAACCATTTATTGATTTCTATACCATGACTGCTGTGTGATATTTACGCTGACTGTCAACCTTTTGCCAGTCAAGCCTTTCGGTCAGTGGTCTTAGCTCCCACAAGTCTCCGGTAGCCCATGAGTGGTAGAGCATCTAGACTAGTAACCAGAAGATCATAGGTTGGACTCCTTGTGTACAGTGGCCTTAGTTCCTTCGACTCTGCTGTAGCTCATGAGTGGTAGAGCATCTAGACTAGTAACTAGAAGATCATAGCTTCGACTCCTGTTGGGAGCACCCGAATTTTTTACTTCTCTTTCTCACGTTGTATTTCCTTTGTTTTAGGCCGCTTTATAGGATCCCTTTTTCTTGTGAAACAAAGCCACCTTCGCACAGGCGCGGGGATGTGTTGAGGAAGGTTTTTGAAAAGAGATATTAGCCTCCATAATATTTTTTCTCAAAGTGAACGAGTGAAGTGTAGATGTAATCAGAAGACGTGTGAGTAAAACTTACGTTCAAGTATCCTTGACCATTGCTATATCCACCGACAATTACGTCGTAGTTCATCATGTTTCTTGGTTCTGTCTCGGCGAATCCAAATCCGATCCAGCCAGTTGTCTTTACTCTTAAGTGAAAGAAAATACTGTCCTTTTGATCGTCAAATCTCCAAAATACGAGGAATCGATTATCGTCAAAGGATAAGGGAAACATTGCTGTAAAGGCAGATGGAAAAATAGAGATAGCGTATTAGAGGATTATTTTGACAATGAAATCAGTATAGAGAAGAGGAAAGGTGTAGTATCATGATATCACCCTACTCCTCTAATATGACCAATGTTTCATGGCCCAATCCAACTTCCTAACTGGATTCCACACTATCATCAACAGAAAAGGAAAATAATATTTATATGTCTCATAACGAATAACTTCATGAACTCACTTGGTGTCGGTTGGGCCGGTGGATTAGTGGGCGTACCTGAATTAAAAAAAAAAGTTTTCTTACACGGTATTTAATGCAATGCTTGGCATCGGCGAAACAAAACTAAAGTTTAAGCAATAAAATTATCATACAGAGAAGAGATGATACTTGATAGGTGGAAAATATTAAAGGAACATTTACAGTTGAAGTAATTCGCTAAAGTCCACTGGATTATCTCTCCTTCACAAGGTGTGTTGTACCGACACGTCAATAAAGGTCATCATCATCATCACCACCACCACCATTATAATCATCACCATCATGTACATCGTCATCAACATCATCAACATCATCATCATCATCATCATCATCATTATCATCATCACCATCATCAACATCATCATCGACATCATTAATATCATCACCATTATCGTTTTGGGTCAATTTTTCAGTGCAGTGTCCCAACTATTACTTGATTAAACAAATTTTGTTACTAAGGGCAATTTCCATTTGTCAGAACAAGGAATCGATTATTTTCAAACGCTAAGAGAAACATTGCTGCAAAGACAGATTGAAAAATAGAAATACCGTATTAGAGGATTATTTTGACAATGAAATCAGTTTAGAGAAGAGGAAAGGTTTGGTATCATAATATCACCCAACTCCTCTAATAAGACCAATCTTTCATGGCCCAACCCAACTTCCTAACTGGGTTCCACACTATCATCAACAGGAAAGGAAAATAATATTTATATGTCTCATAACGAATAACTTCATGAACTCACTTGGTGTTGTTTGGGCCGGTGGACTAGTGGGCGTACCTGAATTAAAAAAAAAAGTTTTATTACATAGAATTTAACGCAATGCTTACCATCGGCGAAACAAAACTAAAGTTTAAGGAATAAAGTTATCATACAGAGAAGAGATGATACTTGATAGGTGGCGAATATTAAAGGAGGATTTACAGAAAAAACCTTCATGGAGCGGTCACAATTGCTAACGTCCACTTGATTACCTCTCCTTCGCAGCGTTTTGTCCCAGATGGGATTTTTCCCCTAAGCTGTGTAGTACCGACAAGTCAATAAAGGTCATCACCATCATCACCACCACTACCACCATCACAATCATCACCATCATCTTCAACATCATCATCATCATCATCAACATCATGGTGGTGGTGGTAAAAAAAAATAGGCCTTTAGTTAGGAAACTCACCTGGAGTTGTAGCAGCGGCAATAAGTATAATTTGGATGAAACCTCTGTAACTGTGCTTCATAAACTGGCCTGTTTGAACGTCACTCGTTCTGTGATAAGCCCATATAAGAAAAATAGGTGCTTCTTGCTGGAAATAATATAAAATATCAAGAAATTACAAAGTGAGTATGTTACGATTTCAAGCCCGAAGTTATTTGGTTGTACGACCCAAACGTATAAGTAAGACAGTTAACCCCCGAGTACAATCGTTTAGTGTCAGGGCTAATAACAGTCTACTAAAATCACAGCATTCACACATCCACCTCTGAACCGCCCGTACGGATCCACGTCCTTTGTACCGCTTATGACGTCATCAGTTTTAACGGTCTTAGACAACATTGACATCTAACTTAAGCAGGCGCAAGAGATCTTTGAAACCAAACCAGAATGAGCTCAATTTAGACAACAGCTGTGACATCAGCGACTTTCGAGCGCACAGTTTCTGCCCTCAGACGACTCAAGCAGGACCGCCTGGACAACTGTCAACTGAAGCATTGTCACAAATCGATTACGGACACACTAGACACTGTGGAGATTACTGGTGCCAACAAACAACGCTAAGGGCATTTTGGAAAATTTGAGTAGGGGTATGCGTATGGCTGAGTGGAAGATGAGCCCCCCGCCTCTACCCGCTGTGACTCTGATGATGANGGTCTTAGACAACATTGACATCTAACTTAAGCAGGCGCAAGAGATCTTTGAAACCAAACCAGAATGAGCTCAATTTAGACAACAGCTGTGACATCAGCGACTTTCGAGCGCACAGTTTCTGCCCTCAGACGACTCAAGCAGGACCGCCTGGACAACTGTCAACTGAAGCATTGTCACAAATCGATTACGGACACACTAGACACTGTGGAGATTACTGGTGCCAACAAACAACGCTAAGGGCATTTTGGAAAATTTGAGTAGGGGTATGCGTATGGCTGAGTGGAAGATGAGCCCCCCGCCTCTACCCGCTGTGACTCTGATGATGACTTCCGTGTTCGGTCATCACAAATCAAGACTATATACTCGCCCGTAAAATCACATTCAGCCTCCTTGCGATATGACTACTGGGTTCAGGGCAACCAATTAGATACATTTCGTACCTGAATAACTGTGTCGTTTCCATCGCTGGTGTTGAGCTTGCGATAGAACTGTAAGGTTGTTATACCATTGTCTTCTCTGGAGTAGGTCAGCACCCAGTCTTGCTTAGTATCTTCTGGAGGTGGCCCGAAGCCACGCGTTAAATAATCCTAATGGTAAATGCAAAAGAATCAACTGACGGTATCTCACTTAGCAGAATAATCCTGATTGGCACTGTCAAAAGTCAGACTTTGTTTTTAATCTCCCCAATTGAGTCATTTTTATCTTGTACCGCAGATGAGTTATTCAAAAAAATGCGTTGTCCCTATAAAAAAGGAAGATCTTTTTACGCAGTGCTCTGTAGAATTTTTGTCAACCAGATAAACGTTACTTAGGAAAGACTCGGACTAAAAAGGGATTTTGTCCTTGTCGAATCCCATAAAATTTCCACCACTGTCTAACCTTAGATTGAGGTTTGTCAAAATGTAAAGTCAATATTACCATTGTGATAACAACGCTAAATGTGTGGTGTTTGGCAAATAACCTACGTGAGAATAAAAAATCTGTATGTTCAAATTCAAATAAAACGTAAATAAATTTTAAACCTTATATTTCAAATCGTCATCATAAATGAACAAAGGGCAAATTTCAGATTACTCACATTTTTCTAAAATATCATCACAATGCTGTTTAATATCATATTTCCAAGCTAGGAAATTTAGGTGCATCTTAGCTTGGAAACTAACTTAAAATTGATTTACCGCAACACCGTCAAATTCCAAACCGAACCTCGCCAAAAATTTTGCGTACCGATAATCACTGTTTTGACGTTATGCTTAACTGTTTTAGTGTTAATCTGTATTAATCTGTAACAACCTATACCACAGAATTCACCTAAACTCGCTCATCGTTATGATAGCGAATATATTATGAAGTTTATGTTGTGGTAAAATTTTGCATTCCATTTCTTGTATATGCGGAATAGTTGCAGAGAAACAATGTTTTACCGTCTCAACTCAATGACAAAATGTACCAACTGAATACCGTATCTTAAGTATGTATTTCCTTGCATGGAGGTATTGCTTAATGATACTTTCAGACATGTTCCCCACCACTTCCACCACTTCCACCACCACAATGAAGGCCAATTTTGACGCTTCAATTACACTGGAACCTTAATACTTTAACGAAGGGCTAAGTGACTGCAAAAATATGTTCGTTGTAACGGGTTTTCGTTATATCGAGGTTCTTTTTCGTTTGGAGCCCAAAGGTTTCGCTATATTTTACTCAGTATTACTGCAAAGGCGAACGTAAGGCGAAGAAAACACGTCCAACACCCTACCAACCCCGGCATGAGAGTAAAGGACTACACAATCTCATGAAAGTCAGTTTAGACAATTTACCTTTAAATAACCTGATCCATTGACGACTCCACCAACAGCTACATCATAATAGGTCATGTTGTTGGGAGCTTGAGTTGCGACACCGAATCCAACCCAGCCTGTGGCTCTCACTTCTACCGTGAAGTGCAGACTGTCGATGCTGCTGTTAAACATCCAGGAAACATTATAATTGCCATTGTCCAGGGAACGAAAGTTTGCAAAATGCTGAGGTGGGCCAGGCGAAGCTGTGGCCACAGGGGAACTAGCTGTGAAGAAAATGTAAGTTTTTAAAACGATTGTTCGTCTGGATTAATTGTCTGACTATGGTGCTGTTTGATACGGAGTATGTGGTGTTGTTTGGGGTATTCTTGACCCTCATCTGGGTTTTTTCGTTTCTTATCTTATAAAAACTTAAAATAATAGTAATAATAACTTTATTTGTATAGCGCTAAATCAATAATTACTCTAAGCGCCTAACAATGACTAATATAAATATAACAAGATTACAGATAATATACAATAATTATACTATTCTTTACAAGAGTTCGAACTAGAAATTTTTGCATGTTCAAATTTTTGTGATTTTTGCGATTTTTACAGCGATCGGCAAAAATAAGATCCCTCAAATAAAATTTACCGCAAAAATGTTTCCAGCAAAAATTTACCCCAATTTACTCCAACTTAAATTCGCTACACAAAAATACAGTACTAAGAAATCGTGTCTGTTCGATCACAACTTGTCTCTTTCATTCAGAAACAAAACGGTATATAATGAAATACTGGTTTATTGTTTGAATATGAATTTTTTATTGCACGACCCTTAGTACTCAATAAAAACGAAAATATTTTCAATGCTGGATACTGGAAACTTTCTGAAATCGCAAAAAACAATTTCCTTCAAGAAAAACCAATCTGTCCTAATCGCAAAAATTAGTTCCCGCAAAACACAAAAAATCGCCAATCCGCAAAAAATAAACTCCCGCAAAAATTTCGTGCCACACGGTATATAAATATAACGATCGAGATTAAAGCAATGTACAATAGTTATGTTATTCTTAATCGTCCTTGTAAGTGTGGTCCTGAATAGGCCAGGGCTAACTCTAAAGGTCATCATAATCTCTGTTATTATTATCATCATTTGAAGACTTCATAGGAAATTGTTTTATTTTTAATATGACATGACAATGACTCACTTGCTACTGCGGTAGTAGCTGTCGTTGGCTCAATTATCATGGCAGGAGTGTTCGATGTACCCAGTGGTGATGCAGTCATTGCGCCCATTGTTGATGTAGTCATTTCTGCCATGGTAGATGTGTCTATTTCTGCCAATATTGATGTTATCATTCCTTCCATTGCAGATGTGGTCATTTCCACCATTGTAGATGGACCCACTTCTATCACTGCTGATGTAGTCATGGCGGCCATTGTTGATGTGGTCATCGCAGGCAATGCTGGTGTACTCACTTCTGCCTCTGTTGTTGTAACCATGGCAGGCGTTTCTGATGTTGTCATTGACGCCATTATTGTTGTAGTCATTTCGACCATGGTAGATGTGCTTACTTCTGTCAATACTGATGTTGTCATTCCTTCCATTGCAGATGTGGTCATTTCCACCATTGTAGATGGACCCACTTCTATCACTGCTGATGTAGTCATGGCGGCCATTGTTGATGTGGTCATCGCAGGCAATGCTGGTGTACTCACTTCTGCCTCTGTTGTTGTAACCATGGCAGGCGTTTCTGATGTTGTCATTGACGCCATTATTGTTGTAGTCATTTCGACCATGGTAGATGTGCTTACTTCTGTCAATACTGATGTTGTCATTCCTTCCATTGCAGATGTGGTCATTTCCACCATTGTAGATGGACCCACTTCTATCACTGCTGATGTAGTCATGGCGGCCATTGTTGATGTGGTCATCGCAGGCAATGCTGGTGTACTCACTTCTGCCTCTGTTGTTGTAACCATGGCAGGCGTTTCTGATGTTGTCATTGACGCCATTATTGTTGTAGTCATTTCGACCATGGTAGATGTGCTTACTTCTGTCAATACTGATGTTGTCATTCCTTCCATTGCAGATGTGGTCATTTCCACCATTGTAGAAGGACCCACTTCTATCACTGCTGATGTAGTCATGGCGGCCATTGTTGATGTGGTCATCGCAGGCAATGCTGGTGTACTCACTTCTGCCTCTGTTGTTGTAACCATGGCAGGCGTTTCTGATGTTGTCATTGACGCCATTATTGTTGTAGTCATTTCGACCATGGTAGATGTGCTTACTTCTGTCAATACTGATGTTGTCATTCCTTCCATTGCAGATGTGGTCATTTCCACCATTGTAGAAGGACCCACTTCTATCACTGCTGATGTAGTCATGGCGGCCATCCTAGGTATTTCGGATGTTGTCATTGACGCCATTGTTGTTGTAGGCATTTCAGCCATCGTTGAAGTGATCGTCGGGATGAGTGTTACAGGACCTTCCACTCCTCTTTTAGTGTGTTGACTAAACATCCCACTGTCCGGATCCACATCATCGGTCGAGTGGTAAGCCCAAACAATGTAAACTTGCACCCCTTGCTGAAATCCACAATAAACATGACTCAGAGTAAACACTTTGAGTCCATAATCTGGGTCAGCAGAATGATATTTTCTTCTTTCTCAGCAGTTCTGCGTGTTTCTTCGCATTGAAAGAAACAAAGCGGGATTTGTCATCTTTTTCGATTATTACGATAACTGGTCATCGCAAGAACAGCATATATCTGTTTGGCTGGGCATGATTTGAAATAATTTTAAAAACCTGTCGAAAACCGGAAAGGTATCGACTCACTCTCACTCTCTGCGGCAGGATAAGCTCAGTCGGTAGAGCGCTTGACTACAGAGCGGGAGGTCGCCGGGTCAATTCTCGGGGTGGGGGGATCAATACTCAGGGTCTTAAAATAACTGAGAAATCAAGGTGCTCCCTTTGCATGCACTGCAAGCGGCTAGACCCTTGCGTGGCTTGGATGACCATGCACGTAAAATGGTGGTACTGCCCCAAGTTGGAGACGTAAACATAGTGTCCCGAATTAGTACTTTCGTGCTAAATACATTGGTACTCAAAGTGCTTTATTTATCTATTTATTTATTTATTCATTTATATATTTATTTATCCGGGGGAGGGAGAAGGAGTGACGCTAAAGGATATTGCGGAATAAAACGTTTGAATGTATCCACCCAGGATTTGGCATCTGTGTTTCAGGCGTTCTAGCCGTTGCTGCTTCTTACAAAGTAAATCTTACCTCAATAGCAATATCGTTTGAGTCACTTGTATTTCGCTTGCGGTAAAATTTTAACGTTGTTACACCGCTCTGTTCATTTGAGTTGATCAACACCCAATCTTGTTGAGAATCCTCCGGAGGTTGTTTGGTGCCATTGGTGAAATAATCCTAATTGGAGGCAAAAATATGCGGATTATGAGAGACCCTGTAAAGACAGACAGTAATTTAATAACGCTTTAGTTAAAGGGGGCTGCAACGTCTACAAAAAAACAGCACACTGAAAGCTATTGACCGAGATCCATAAGCGAAAAGTCCTAGCTAATTTACTGGTGGAGGCCTCGAACCCGTGGTCTAATTGCCAAACTCAAGAAGGTGCTGTTCACATTAGGTGCCCGAGTAGCAGTACCTGGATACTCCAAAAATGGTCTCGGTGTATTCACACCTTGGGCACCCGACATGTAACGTCCCTCTATTTCCTATGTGATGCTATTTTGAGAGGTGTGCGTAGCAGGAAGTTTTGGGTACCGGTATGCAAAGTAATGGATTGCCTCGGGACTAACAAAGAAAGTGTTCACACAGAAAAACAGTACTCACTTAATGTCCGAGTACAAGGTTTGGTACTCGGACACCGGCGCCGTTCTCGAATTCTTATACATGCAGTAGTGTATGTCTCTAAACATGGTGATAAATANTCAAGGTGCTCCCTTTGCATGCACTGCAAGCGGCTAGACCCTTGCGTGGCTTGGATGACCATGCACGTAAAATGGTGGTACTGCCCCAAGTTGGAGACGTAAACATAGTGTCCCGAATTAGTACTTTCGTGCTAAATACATTGGTACTCAAAGTGCTTTATTTATCTATTTATTTATTTATTCATTTATATATTTATTTATCCGGGGGAGGGAGAAGGAGTGACGCTAAAGGATATTGCGGAATAAAACGTTTGAATGTATCCACCCAGGATTTGGCATCTGTGTTTCAGGCGTTCTAGCCGTTGCTGCTTCTTACAAAGTAAATCTTACCTCAATAGCAATATCGTTTGAGTCACTTGTATTTCGCTTGCGGTAAAATTTTAACGTTGTTACACCGCTCTGTTCATTTGAGTTGATCAACACCCAATCTTGTTGAGAATCCTCCGGAGGTTGTTTGGTGCCATTGGTGAAATAATCCTAATTGGAGGCAAAAATATGCGGATTATGAGAGACCCTGTAAAGACAGACAGTAATTTAATAACGCTTTAGTTAAAGGGGGCTGCAACGTCTACAAAAAAACAGCACACTGAAAGCTATTGACCGAGATCCATAAGCGAAAAGTCCTAGCTAATTTACTGGTGGAGGCCTCGAACCCGTGGTCTAATTGCCAAACTCAAGAAGGTGCTGTTCACATTAGGTGCCCGAGTAGCAGTACCTGGATACTCCAAAAATGGTCTCGGTGTATTCACACCTTGGGCACCCGACATGTAACGTCCCTCTATTTCCTATGTGATGCTATTTTGAGAGGTGTGCGTAGCAGGAAGTTTTGGGTACCGGTATGCAAAGTAATGGATTGCCTCGGGACTAACAAAGAAAGTGTTCACACAGAAAAACAGTACTCACTTAATGTCCGAGTACAAGGTTTGGTACTCGGACACCGGCGCCGTTCTCGAATTCTTATACATGCAGTAGTGTATGTCTCTAAACATGGTGATAAATAGCCCATGAAGTATAGCATGAGATATTGACCCGACAGATCAGTGGAGTTTAAAATTTTAAAAAAGGACTGGGTGTTTTTACATTTAGCAAAAAGGATGTAGTCTCATTAACGTGGAGGTCGCACTATGGGATTTCACTTGAGTAACCTTTTTTGTAGGTTTAAACGTACTGTTTGTTTGTTTGTTTTTTCAAAGTTCCCGGAATCGCCACAAAAACAGGAAAACCTGTGTGATATTGAAGTATACCACAGTCTCAATCACGATATTGGGACATTGGCGTCGTGGTCCCAAAAGAGAACTGCCATATTTTATTTAGTTTTCTTTTTCTTTGAAAGGTTGAACCAACGAGCAGCTCAAATGCCTAAAAACAAGCTGAGTTTTACATTTTCCTAAAAAACCCTCGGGTCTGCTTAACATATACTTAACTGTAAACCCTCGGTGATGCGTCTAGGAAGAAGGCCGAAATGGTTGACAATGCAAGGTTTAACATATTTTATATGCGTGATATGATATTTTTGGGCCCATAGTTTTATTTAAAACACGAACACATGTGTGTTATCCAGGCATAATACTCTCACATTCGCGGGCGATTTTAATTATAGTGCGGAAATTCGCAAGCCCATGCATTCATAATCAGGGCCTAACCGGCTACACGTTCACGATGACTTGTCGTGAGCAGTCGTAGTTCCCATGGTTACCTATAAACAGTTATGCTTTTGGGCGTCACACACGCGATATCAATTAATTTCCATTTTGGAGTTGAGTGATAACAATAATGCACGGAATTACTGGTTTCAGTTATTTTTTAGAGCTAGTGTATTGGAAAATGGACATTTATAAGCACATTTATGATGTTCTTCGCATAATTAAAAACCGAGAGAGATTAAAACTTCAGAGCAGCTATGTTTATGAGCCGACATATCATGCCCTACGGGAAGAAACCGTCGTCTGTTTGGCTTATTAGATAGCCCCGTTGGCTATCTGTCTTTCCAAAGCTCACTGAAATATCCGTCTTGCTGTGGTAAAGCATTCAATGCTTATATTAGTCATCTGTAACAGGATGGAAATCACTCCAGTGGAAGAAATTTTTGTACGACGTTCGTTAATTTCGTGTTTCAGGTTAATGAACCACGAAATAATGACTCTCACGCAAGTTAAAAAAAAGTGGTCTTTTATTTAGTTTGTTTTATTGTTTGCCTGATTGTGTAGTCGTTTTTGCGTTCTCATATTTTGGAACTATTTGTTGTATATCTTCATGTTCAATTGTAGTGTAAATATATGCCTTTCATAAACTCGATACTGTTGTGAAGTGTTGAGTTTATTGGCGGGGAAGCCTCAGTGAGAGAGTATGTAAAACTTTCAGTGAAGAAGAAGCTGAAATGTGATGAAAACCTCGCTACCTCTTCTCTGAGCAAGCAAGTTGCTCAGCTAGTCACTCCCATTTCAGTGTTATCGACTGAGAGCCGGGTTACTGAAAATAGTAATAAAGAAATTTTCCGTGCACCGACGGGCCGTGAGCTCAGTTTTGAATAATTTATGATATGAACTGTGAAAATGGTTATCAGAGTTGCAGATCGAACGGTAAAGTACAAGTTCCTCAAAAAATATTCTCTGTGGTTAGCACCACAGCGAGCAGTTGATGAACACATTTCCTTCATGACAGGCAATTTTACCTTAAAACTGAAAAAAGTAATCATGAAAAGTATGTTTTTTTTTCGCGATAAAGGCGACTTTTCAAGGTTTTCAATTCATTTAGAAAGATACCTTATAAGCAACACGTTGAACAAGAAATGTAAATTTGAGCAGTTTTCCCCAAATGGCCAAAAACTCTGAAAAAAACCTGAATATTAGTCCCTCGGTTCACTCACTTTTCAAAAGTCGCCACATTTTAATGCCGTCCATCATGGGAAAATCGACGGAAATCGTCAAAACTAAGACATTTTCACTTTGGCAAGTAGTTTAAAGAGAGCAAAATTCTTCACTTACCCGCAGATAACCAGTTCCATTACTCAACACCCCTCCTACGGCAACATCGTAGCCCACCATTCCGGTTGAGCTTGCATTTAAAGAAAATCCAAACCCGACCCATCCTGTGGCGTTTGCTTCCACTAAAAATTCTAAAGTATCTGCTGATTCATTGAAATTGTAAGAAACATTGTAGGTTCCATTGTTTATGATGATAGTGTTAGAAAATATATAACTGCTTGTTGTACAAACAACAAATAACGACAATAGGCAAACTTGTAAAACGGCCATGGCAACTTCACGCCGTCGCTTGTTAACAGAATGACTATGTACTTTAAGGAGACACCTAATATTTATTCCGTGTTTTTTTTCCTTTCTCTCTATTTCAAAATCATCACGCAAGACCAATATTCTTTTGTTTCAATTTTTCCTCAAATAAAAAAATAATCTGAATGCAATGCAGGTGGTATCACGAATGTAATAACATAAGAACTGTCCGCAAAATCTTTAGTTCACAGTTAAGAATTAAGTATACTGTAGTGGTAAATAACTTCTGAATGAACAATTTTACGTAAGTAAGTAAGTAAGTAAGTAAGTAATTTTATTTAACCACATATCGCATATGAGCAATAGCTCGTTTAAATGCAAATGTGCCATAAAAATTACAACGTGATAACTTACATAATGTACATGTACAAGTGATGAATAAAAATAAGAAATAAAGAAATTAAATCAACTAAAAATAATAATAATAATTTAAAAAGAGAAAATATTGGTAATCAGATTGTCTATTTACAAAATACACAGTTGCAGTCATACGATGAAGACAACTGTATGTTTTGTAAGTTTTTCCTAAAAATAGAGAGGGACTCCGACATCCTTATTTTGTCTGGTAGATTGTTCCATTGTTTGCCAGCCTGGTACGTGAAAGAATGTTGCATATAAGATGAGGTCGGTCTTGGAAGAACAACCTTAAGATGGCCCCGTAGGCTGTAACCATTGCTTCGCAGTAAAAACATTTCCCGAATGTAGTTCGGTGCCTGGTTATAAATGCTATTGTATACGAGTATCAGTGCTTGTTCTATGCGTCGATGTTCCAAGCTTTTGATATGTACAGTTTTAAGTAGCTCTTCATAAGCAGTCGATTTAGAGTAGTTAAGAAGAGTCCTAAGGGCAAATGCATTGGTTGACTCTAGTTTTGCAGACAAACCTTTACTTAGACCTATGAACAATGGTGATGCGTATTCAAAGTGAGGCAGAATAAATGCTTTGTACAGTTTAATCATAATATCTGAGGGTATAATTTTACGTATGCGACGAAGAATTGAAACTTTTGTGTTCACTTTCCGGCAAATTTCTTTAATATGTGCTTTAAAAGAGAGTGAATTGTCGATAATTACACCAAGGAGCTTGATCTGTGGAACGTAATCCAGTTCATTGCTGTCAATAACAAAGGACGTTGGTAGAGTTGCTCTATTGAAGACGATGGATTGAGATTTACTATGGTTAATCGCCAGGAAGTTCTTACAAAACCAGGAAACGAGTAGATCAAGGTTGTTTTGTAGATTTATTTGCAAGGTGGATGGACAAGGGCTTGAAGAGTACCCCGTAGTGTCATCGGCATAAAATCTTAAGGAGCACGAAATATCTGAAAAATTCGCATCATTCATGTATACATTGAAGAGAAGGGGGCCCAAGATCGAACCTTGAGGAACTCCACACTTCATAATTTGCCAATCTGACAGGTTACCGTCTATCTTGACATGTTGCTTTCGGTCAATCAAATAAGAACGTAGAAGTTGTAGGGCGTCTTCAGTTACACCGTACGCTGACAGCTTTGCAAGAAGCAAATTATGGTTAATAGAGTCAAATGCTTTGGAGAGGTCTATGGTAATTACTGCAGAGTGCTCGCTAGAGTCTAAATTTGCTCTAATATCTTCACATGTTTTGAGGAGGGCTGTTGTGCATGAATGTCCTTTCAGAAAACCAGATAAATTCCCGCTGAGGAAATGAAGGGAAAACTCGTATAGCTGATCAAAGATTACTCTTTCAGCTATCTTTGAGACAGCCGATAACACAGATACAGGACGGTAATTAGATTTTAGAGTCTCGCTATCTTTTTTATAGATCGGAGAAATAATGGAAGTTTTCCAATTTGTAGGCCAGGAACTACCAGTGATGCATCGATTAATAAATTTTGTGAGAGAACTGAGAATTGCTGGTTCAGCAAGTTTCAATAGGCGTGGAGAGATTCCGTCAGCACCGGTGGCTTTATTAATTTTGATACTGGAAAGTATCCTCTTGATGTAGGAATCCCGAACAGGAGTAAATGAGAAGCTCATTTGTCCTTTAAATTTCTGTTCAATGGCTATAACACTGGAATGGGTCTTAAACTCTTCTGGCTGTAGGTTAGACATGTGGGTAGGCCTGGGTACTGCATGAATGAAATAATCGTTTAGAAGATTGGCGACATCAATACTGTCAGTAATGAGGCGCCCATCTTCAATCAGTTGAATATGGCTGTTACCTCTGTCCTTGCTGGGAAGCAAACAATGAAATTTCTTCCAAAATTCCCCAGGGTGTTCGGAGTTTGTGGATACATTAATGCAGTATGACTTGAGGGAAGAGCGTTTTAAAGAAGTGACAAAGTTCCGTTGTTTCCGATAGGCCTCCCAATTTTCAGACGTTTTGTTCTTAGTAAACTTTCTGTGTAGACGATTTCTAGTGTTTATAGCCTGAATAATTTTTGGTGTCATCCATGACACAGTGTTACCGCGTACCAGTTTCCTCTTAAGCGGTGCGTGACGATCAATTACTTCAGTGAATAATTTATACCAGTGCGCCCAGATGTCGTCGATATCATCGTAAATAAACGCAGAGTCCCAGGGGACACTGTTTAGGTCCTGAAGAAAAATATTAGCGTCAAACCGTTTCATTGAGCGATAATTGATGAGCTTTGGTGGAGGTTTAGGTAGGTTCCACTTGCGACAACCTGTAAATCGAGACTTTCCAGGTAGTTATTCCCCAATATCATTTACATTTTTCTCGAACCTTTAATAGGGTATCGTTTTTTACCTTGTTGGCTTTGTGTCTTTGGTTTGATCCTTAGACAGGGTAACTCAAGTAATAAAGGATGGTTTGTTTTGGAAGCTGGAACGTCTGTGGAGATGCCCTAACGTCTCTATCTCCACCAAGATCAAGCTATTTAATACTACCTGTGTCACCGTCCTTCTATATGGCTGTGAGTCGTGGGTCCTGTCGAAAGCAATGGAAAGCGAGATCAATGCCTTTGGTACCTCATGTTATAGAATTATGCTCAACATCAAAAGAATTGATAGGGTGTCCAATGCTAAAATCTATGATTTAACTCAGACTGCCCCGCTAGTAGAAAATGTCAGAACCCGCCAACTGAGGTTTCT